ATTCCTGCATGAGACAGTCACTGTAGCCCTGATAAGAAGTGGGCATTTTTAGTTAAGCTAAGCTGGTTCTTTGTACAATTCCCAATATATACTGTCCCCTACCGCAGCTTTAGTGTGATGTGAAGATTAGAACAGGAGTGCAGAGAAAAGCTGACCATGAGCTGGGAGCCCCAGTCCAGACCACGGGGAGAAAACTGTGTTCCAAAGTGCAGGAGACTGGGACCTGCACAAGCAAAACCAGCACCTGGCATCACACACCGAGCAGGTCCAAGAGAACTTGCACTGGCTTTTACAGAGCACAGCAATCTGCTTCTCATAAATCAAGTCACTGTTGGTTGCAACCAGCTTCAAGCAACACTTGATTCCCAAATACATTCACATTAAAACAATTTAAAAAAGAGATAGTAGCAACCTGGCAGAGACTTAGCTGCCTGCTGTGCCTGCCACTCCTCTAATGAATGGTAAATTGAGACACCACCTCACAGCTTAGCATTTTCATCATTGGCATGCTACCTTCAAGTTACACAGTAAATGCTCTCCCTATATCCCCATTTACACATTGCAGCAACAGGCAGAGATCAGCCAGAGACACCTACCCGAAGATGCATTCCTTATATTCCCAATATTATAATTTACAAGTTATAACAATAGCAAATCAACACCCTAGAAACAGCACACATACAGCCCAGAAACGGCAAGAAAGCCCACAGACACTCATAAACTTAACCAAGACTTGCAGCAACGTGCACACACATGCTGGCACACAGATTTTTTCTTCCACAGGAGATACAGACCTGTCTGTATCTCCGCTCTGAGCACACCTTGCAGAGTCCATTGAAGCGGTTCATGGCTAGAAAACCTAAACTTGCCGTTAGCCCATGAAAATCCAGTCCCCTGAAGCAGTCGTAATCCCGATCTCCTTGTATCACACGAGTGTGGAACAAACCACAGTCAAACTGGCATGACCGCCCATGGGAACCCAGCTCCAGAGAAGAATGGCAGGAAGCCACCTTTCACCTCCCCAGCCCCTGTCTGTGCTGTATGCCGCTTTACGATAAGCCAGAGGGCTTCCTGAAAACCCTAACTGACAAGGAAGAGAGAGAGTTTTATATTAAAATTCCTGTCAACTATTTAGTATTCCCTAGTCCCTGCTCTGTTGATGTGGCTTTTGTTCCCGCGGCATTCTTCAGCCGCACGGAGCACTTTGTTATTGCAATGTTCTCACAAACACTTTGAGGATGTTTAAGCGGCATTTCACAGGCACCGGCTGTGTGAGCTTCACTTCATTAAAAAGACAGCTTGCACTCATTACAATCGTAAAGAGAGATTTTTTTGAACAAAAAGAAAAAAAGAAAAAGGAGAGTTTGTTTTTGAAAGCACAGACCCAGAGGATACGCACGTCCCAATGCTTTGTGCTCACAGAGTCACGGAGAGGGAAGCAGAGAGGTCAGTTGAATTGCACCCATGGTGTAATTTTGGAATTAAAGACAAAGAGAAACTCTTTACCCAGCCAGCAGCAGGGTGCAAAGCAGGACTCGGTGAGTCTGCACCATGCAGCCCCGACTGCCAGCGCTGCAGCACAACCCCTTGGAGATGGGGTTGCAACGGAGAAGAAAGCACCTTCCACAATCCTGCACAGGGATGGAAAAGAGAGGAAAGTGCCTTGTATGGCAGCTGGGGTGGCAGGGCCAGAGGAGGCTGGGGAGGGAGTGCGAGGAGTCCCAGCATTCCCAGGGGACCCGGCAGTGTGGCGGGGCCATTGGAGGCACTGCCCAGGGCCGCTCCAGGCGCATTGTCCCAGCCTGCCGCACCGCCAGGCTGGAGCTGGAAGGAGGATCGGTCTTCCTTCCCAGCCACCATTTTTCAAGTCAGTAGCGACTGCCGGAGAGGAAGGGAGGAGAGGGGCGCTGGCTTTGTTTGTCTTGCTCAATCCTATGCTTTAAAACAAATAACTGAAAATGCAGCTGAGGGAAGCAGCAAAGCGGAATTCGGCACAGATAAATCACAGGGACGGCTGAGCCCAATTTCCGATGCAGGCCATGTGTTTGTGTTCCCATTTCCCATCCTTGCCTTGCCTATAAATCACTGAGGCTCCACTATGGGCCCTTCCCTTCCCAGAGCAAATGGCCCTGAAAGGAGGAGGGGAGCAGACGCACCCGTCCACGGAGACACAGAGACGGCCAGGGACTGATGCTGTGCAGTGGGCAGCTGGCCAACCCTGTCCCCATCACTCCCAGTGCTCCCAGTCAATGGCTGGTGCTTTGTCTCTGTGGCAACATACTGGAAAAACAGGAGGTCCCTGTATGGCATGGGGAGTGAGTGTGGGATTACTAACCACATCACTCACCTCCACCAGTTGGTGCTCAGTCAGGATAACTAATTGCCTACAAAAGTCATGGTGTCAACAGGGAGACTGACATAGCTCCCACCTCAGCATCACCCTAATAGTGTCCCTTGGCTTGTTTGAAATCCCTCCATGCAGGCTCCACTGCCAGCCAGCTCCCAACCCCACATCTTCACACCCCTGGTGGGTCATAGCCCTGTCATACCTACCTTCAGCTGCTTCATGGTCACAGCATCCTGGCTTTCCTGTGCTGCACCCTGACTACCCGGCATCAGCTCTAAAAACAAAAAAAAAGAAAAAAACGGATAGGCCAGATCAGCCCAACAGCACATGTCTCCTGACAGTCCCTCTCCCCCCACATTGCATCTACACACTATATACAAGATCTTTACATGTCATGGGCACATCTCCTCCAGGCTGGGGCAGCCCTGCATGGCAGCAGCTGTGGGGTGGTTGCACATTTGGGACAGGCACTGCTGTCTCAACCTGCTCTGTGCCAGCCTGTCCTCCTCCACACACCCTGGCAGTGCAGCAAGGAGACCAAGGCAGGAGAAGAAGCTCCCCACCACCCTGCACAGACCCAAGGAGCCAAACAGATCCTGGCCATGGGATGAGCCCCAAGTCTGAGAGGCAGGAATCAGCATAGTGAAAGTCCCAGCAAGAGGGAGAGGTGTGGCTGCAAAGTTGGAATCCCCACAGAGGGCCCCAGACAGCCACTGGTAAGCAGGACTGAGGTTTGAAAGGGAGAGCTTGGTGCCTGGTCTGTTTCCTTCAGACCCAGCCAGGATCTCCCCCACGCCAGTCTTTTGGGATCCCGGTGCCCACTGAGCATCACAGGGCTGAGAAGTGCTCATGGGGGCATAGGTGCCATGGTGCTGGGAGGTGCTCCATGCCAGCACAGGGACAGACATCAAACCTTACCAACACTTCCTGGGACATCGCAGTGGGGAGACACACCTCTGCTCTGCTTCAGCCGCCGCGTGGCCACCTTCAGGTGCTTGGCCCTGCCCAGGTCCTCCCCGAGGAGATAGTACCAGCCACTGATCTCCTGGGTGGGAGGAAAGCAGCTGTCAATGCAGGGGCAGATACTCATCCCCATTTAACTCAGTCTGGTTGCCCATAGCCCCAGAGGGGTCCCATTGCAGGAGCTGCCCCAGGCCAGTACACAGAGGCTGCCCAGACACGCTCACACAGAGGCACAGCCTGGAGTCCTTCTCTTAGGATACAGCAACAGCTAAAATTCCATCCCCCCTGCAACCGGGGACCAAGCATCACTGAAGTAACAAGCTTCTAGGTTTTTAGAGGGAGACAAGGTGCAGCAAAAGAGCCAGTCTCAAGTAAAACTGTCCATATGGTGTTTGCAGCAGACGGAAGTCTCGCAGGGAGCACACGGCTCCAGCCTTATCACCAGAGGAGGATGCCCAAACCAGCCTTCAGCAGTGCTGGGTCCCTCAGTGGGGCTCCCTTTGCCCCTGTCCCATACCCATGTGGCCAGGGCAGCAAAGGGGACAGAGCTAACCTTGGAGATCCCTCGCTTCTCTTCCAGGGAGCTGCCGCTGTCTCCCATTGCTCCCCAGGCAGCCAGTAGAAGCTGGAGGGACCAACCATCCTGGATCAAGCCCAGGAGTTGGGTGGGGTTGCAGGAACCACGTTCCCAGTGGTCAGAGGAAGGGGCCCATTTTAAAATGAGTGTTTTAAATCCACAATGATGAAACTGAGGAGAGGGCATTATAGCCAGCAGCATCATGCAGCACCCAGGAGGCAGGGCCAGCTCATCTCAGCCCCAGCTGAGGTCCCAGGTGGACCACATGCCCCCAGCATCCTCCTCCCATCCCTGCCAGAGTAGGGTGCTGTGCATGGGTGCTATACACATGAACGTTCTGTCTTCTCTGCACGCAATGACACCTTGTGAAACTCACCGCCAAAATCTGACAAGGAGGGGACATCTTTGGGGTGGCCAAATATGACCAGAGCAGAGGCTCTTCCTGGGGAGAGCTGCAGTTTAGATCTGCTCTGCCTAATTATCTTCACTGCTACAAAAAAGCGGCATCTCACTTGTCCAAATTCCAGAGGAGGCCATGCTCAAGCTACCTCTTACACTCTTCTCAGGTCATTGTCACAAATAGCTCCTTTTTAACCTCTTGCTAGGGAATAAATTTCCACACTTCGGGTGATGTATTAACACTGTCACGAACCACTTCCAGCTTGCTGAGATACTCTGATGTGTCGACCCTAGACCAGGGCTGTCCAGGGATGAAATCCCTAACCACTGGCAGCTAGGATGAAACATTTCCATGTTTTAGTGAGTCAGCAAGAGTCATTTACAGCCAGTAGCCTTGCAGGCTTCTTTAGGAAGGCAAACCCAGCTGATATGAAAGCTGTATTACCAAGCAGCAGCCAGGCTGGGGCAGCAGTACTGTGACCAAATCTGCAGCAGTTGGGGACATGGATTCTGGTACAGACACAGCCTGGCAGCACCGCTGCCAACAGGAACAGCCTGAGACCTCTGCATTTGCCCTCTCCCCACCACATCTCAGCTGCTGAAGCCCTGGCTGCTGAGTGCACGGAATCAGGCAGACTCCTCAGAGGAGGAGTGTGTCCCCACCATCTCACCCACTCGGCCACCACCCAGCGGCCACCTGTTAGTTGTGATACATGCCAGCGGGCTGAGCGAGGCTGGCCCCATCTCCTGTCTCCCAGGCAGCGCTGCTGTGAGCAGGACAGGCAGCACTCACTGGGGCCACCTCTCTGCACCCCCAGTTGCTGCTATTCTTTTTGTGTCCCTGCAGAAGGGAGTGACGGTCCCCTGTCCTAGGATCCCTCTTCTAACAGCCCCCCTAGCCCTGCCTCCGGCAGTCACACCAACATGAGTCTCACAGTGGCCATCCGTACTGAGCATGGAACAAAGGAACTCCCTGGGCACCCTCAGAGCATCTTTGTCCCACAGTGGGAGAAACCTGCTTCTGCCCCAAGGGTGCACTACAGCCACCCACCAATCTGACAGAGTCAGGCCCCAGTCCCACACGCTGTGCTCCAGCACAGAGTTACCTTGTCCAGGGTCAGGAGGGACTTGACGCCAAAGCTCATGCAGCCGATCAGTTCACTCTGTCTGCAGAAGACCCGGAAACTGTCAGCACACACTTGTTGAAAACTCCCCAGGGACCAGCTCCCCAGATGCACTCCTTTGCAGGGACCCCGCAAACATCCCTGCCCATGCCAGGACCTGGGCAGTGCCCAAAATGTGCCTCCCTCCCCATGCTTTAAGCAAACATGATGTAACCACACAGCTCAGCTGCAGCAGGGGCAAGGAGGAGCTGGGCTGAAACATCCTGGTCACCTCCAGCCTACCTGATGCTGGCAGGAGCTTGGCTGAGGAGGCAGATGCCACTTGCTTGAGCAGGCAGCACAGCCTGCAAGGTGCCAGACCCCTTGCTACTGGGCTTTCCTCATCACTGCATTACCCCCAGAGGTAGGGAAGGTCCCCAACCCAGAGCCAGGCTCCAGCCCCACTTGGCTTTAGCCAGCAGTGCAGGCATGAGTGGCTGCAGGAGTTTTAAACATTGGTCCAGCTGATGGCTGCCAAGCAGAAGCAATGCTGACAGAGAGCAGCAAGGGCAGGATTTCCTCTCCGCCAGCCTGCATGCAGCGTGATGCTCACCAGCATGGGCTGCCCATGAGAATGACCCTGTCCAGGGCACCAGGTCAGCAGGTCCCAGTCCCAGCCCTGCTGCTCAGCTCCCCCCACCTCACTGGTCTGCAGCCTTCATGCAGTGCAGCTCTGATGTCAGAGCCAGCCCTTGAGGCCTGGGGCACTAGAGGAGCTCACGTGCGGTGGCCAGAGCAGATGGCAGGTTCACTGCTGTGCCAGCCCCATTTGAAAGCAATTGTATGGCAGGCTGGCAGCCTCTTACCTGGAATTTCTCTCTCGGTTCCAGACTGTGACTAGGAGACGTTTCTGCTCATCCTCCTCTTGTACCGGGCTGTAACAAGCAGAGGGGACAGCCCATGAGCACCAATCTTCCCCAGGAGCACTTGGCAAGGGCTGCCCTTGCAGACAGAAACCCCTCACCCTCCTCAGAGCCAGGTCTTCTCCATTCTCTGCACGGAGCACTGCAGCATCACCCCACACAGCAACCTCCTCAAACGAGCCACTGTTGCACTAATTCACTCCTTCCAGACAGACAACTGCAAAGGGATGTGACCTGTCCTGGGCAGGTGCTGGGGACACCGTTCAGATAGTTTAGAGGGAAAAACAGTCTTGCAGAAAGACATACATCCCACAGCAAAAGGTAAACGCAAGGAACAAGCCACATTTCATGCTCTGAAACAACCATCCTGTGCCAGATTAAATGCTGCATGGGGACAGAGGTCTGACACAAACTGGTTAGCTAGCAATGACAAGCTCTACCAAAACACAACAAGCCCTACAGCTCCTTTCCCATGCAGAGACATGCTGTAGCTATAGGAAATCTTTTTACCTTCCTCGTTCATACCGATGCCCATACTATTGCAGGTGCAAGGTCTAAGAAATGGAGTGTGTTTGCCCAACTCCTGCCCAGCAACAAAGTTCAACTGTGTGGGAGCACCACTGCCATGCTGTGTGCTGACAGCTTTGTGAGCCTCTGCAGAGCTCTGCCCAAAAGTTCAAGGCATTTCAGCTATAAAAAACAGCAGAATAATGTCTGTCACTCCTCATCTCAGCAGCAGACCTGCTCATGCATGATGCGTGTTTATTACAGATCATAATGCAAAAGCAAGCATGGGGTCTTGGCTTCAAGAGGGTACCCTGGGACAGCAGTCACGTGGGTCCCCCACTACTCAGTGGGAACACGGCGCTGACAGATGGGTCAGAGCTACCTCTACCCTGTAGTACTCACAAAAGAAAGTGCTCGTGGAAGACAGGATTTTTGCTGTCTGGCACAGTCTTCGTCTTTTGCCTGCATTTCCAGTCAGCATCTGGCACGATCGACATCTTTACAGAGGAAAACAGGCAGCATGTTAGCACTCTTAAAGCAAGCACTGGCACACAGCTGCCAGCTCTGCTGGTGCAGTGGCAGGAGACCAGCACAGCCACTTCTACAGATGGCTAAGCCTCAAAGATCCAGCTGAGTCTGTGCTAACAGGTGATTTAGATCACTTCACCCTGTGTGTCAAATAATTGCATTACAGAACTCCTCGGGGTAGGGGAGGGAAGGAAAAGAGCAGAAAAATCAAGGACTGATGTACGCAAATGTTGGTGGCTGGTCTCTGACTTGCAGCCCCCTCACAGGGGGCTCCCTGTGCTGTGCACACGTGGTGGGAGCAGTCTGCCAAGGTGACCTCCAGGAGAGCCTGGAGCCACACTGTGCTGGCCATACACTTCTCCCCACCAGCCCTTGGCCATCCAGTGCAATGCTCTTGCAATGGATGGCTGACACAGCCCTTAGCAGGGTCCTGTCCTCCACTTTTCTGGCTCCATGCAGACACTGTGCCAACAAAACCCATGAGCCCTCCAGCACCGGGCAAAAAACCAGCCACCTCCCTGCATGCTGTGGGTGCTCAGCCAGAACAGGACAAAGGAGGAAAGAGAAGGAACCAGCAGCCCAGAGCATGCTTGGAAGAGCCAACCAGAAAACGCCAAGAAAACCAAAGGTCCCCGAGCAAAGCCCCAGAAGAACCCACCTTCACATAGGAGTCGCATGTCCGGTACTCCTTTCCTATCAGACCTTTTGCTTCCATGACTGGAAAGGAAACAAAACAGTCAAGCCCCAAAGCAGCAGGGAAGGCATCTTCCTACACCATGGCGCTCTGCACCACGGGGTGCCCCGTCCTCGTGGGGCTGAACCCGTCTCCAAGGCATCTTCCTACACCATGGCGCTCTGCGCCACGGGGTGCCCCGTCCTCGTGGGGCCGAACCCGTCTCCAACCCCGACAGGATCCTGCATACACCTTCCCAGCAGCCTGGTCTCACTGGGCACCCACAAACAGGTGAAGGGTTTTATTGTATTTTTTCTTTAATATACCCATGCTATAAATACAAGCATCTGTGGGTGAGGTTGGCAGCAGATGCAGTTCAGCATCCGGATGGCAAATTGCATTTCATTTGTCTGACTTCACACAACTCTGGGCTCCCTGCCCTGGAGCCAAATGTATCATCAAGTTAAATATCAACGGCCGCATCCTGATGGCAGCCCTGCCAGCAGGGACTCAGCATTGCACCACTGCCAACAGTTGGGAACCTTGCGCTTCCCAGCCGTGTGGCTGGAGGCAATAGATGTGCAGCAGAGCCTGGGTAGCCCAGGACATGCTGTCAGAATGAGGCGAAGCTTCCTCCTAACAAGCCTGGCAAGGCGGCAGTGACTTTGCCTTTGTCAGAGACAGACATGTGCTCCTAATAAACATGGTCAGCCTGACAGAAACCCTAGTGCACAAGGGGAAAGGGGTTCTGCAAGACCCTCTGGTGCTTCATGAAGCAGTTTGCAAGGTTCCTCCAGGACAGGCTGCACCAAGAGCTTCCTCCTCCAGCCAGACCTGCCTTGGGTTTAAAGACATTGGGGTGGAGAATGAAAAAGATGGATCACCCCACATCACCCAGCCTTCTCCTGCCCACACCGAGTACCCTGAGCATCCGGCATGTGCAGCGGGATGTCGGGTCCCAGACCTTGAGCCTCCTTTGCCTCTTTGCTGGACCATTTCCCTCTTTTGGAGACAGCATCAGAACAAGATGGTGACTTGCACCCAGCTTACGCTGGGGCTGCTCCAGATAGAGGCATTCAGGGTAAAGCCTGTGCCAGATCCTCAGAACCACACACAGCTTGGAAGGAGAGGAAAATAAAAAACAAACAAACAACACATTTTCCTGCTGCTGTTTCTTTACAAAGCTTGCTGCACAGCCGGAAAAGGGCAGCAAAGCTGTCACGGCTGCCGAGTGGAAAAGAACAGGGGCTGCACATGTCTTGGCCAGTCCCTACAGCCTCACGAGGCTCAGGCCATCCTCTGCCCCCATTTCATTACATCCAGGCAGGGGTGAGGCTGGGCCATAAGGTGGGATGTTGCTCAAGAGAAAGTCTTCTCCATCCCCTCCTCCCTTGCCATGAAGGTTTCTGGGATGGGGGTGCCTTCCCCCGCAAAGCATGGACACTCCCAAGGGCACTGGGAGTCCTAGGGCCCTGCTTTCCCCTTTCACCCTACAGAGCCCAAATCCAGGGCAGCAACGAGCCTGCTCTGTTCACAAGGAGGGAATTTTTACTCTGACCATTTCAAACTCTTGGCTTTTTCCTTGATTTTTTAACCATTTAACTATCATGAAGCCCTGAAGAGCTCCTGGTAGAAAGAGCTCTGTGCCAGGAGACCAGGACACACACATCTTTCACTGTGGGAGCAATCATAAGTGTCTCCAGGCAGGTTTTTCCTAAAGAAAAGAGCTAGTTCTGACACTCTCATTGGCCTTGTTAATGAACATCATTAAAGCTGCAGTGATGCAGTTCCCTGGACCTGCCTCGTGGCTGCAATGGAGCTGGTGTCCCAGGTGCTGCATCGCTCTCCTGCACTGGTACTCAGCAGTGGTGGCCAGACCTGAGTCCCCAGAGAACAAAAAGCATCTCTCGTCCCCAGTGGGGCACGCCATGACTTGAGGGACAGCAACCCCAGCCTGGACAGGTGAAATACTTTTGTTGAAGAAATATTGTTGGTGTTAAAAAAAAGCAGCATTTGGAGGTTACAGAATGATTTGGAAATCCTGGCAAATGTGGCAAACGGTTTTGGCCAATGTAAAAGACGTTTCAGTGGAGACAAAGCATTTCAGGTTTTCTTTTCCAAATTATGTTTGCCTTTTTTCTCTTCACATGGAGTTAAAGAAAAAAATTTATATAAGTGGACGCAAAACACACTGTGGTCACCCAGAAATTAAGGTCTCCAGAAATTTCGGTTTGGCCTCTAAATCAAAGAGCTACCATTTGTGCCACTGTACCACAGAGTTGTTCCCAACACCTGTCATGAACCTCCAAAGAGCTTGAAGAAAGGGCATGTGTATTGGTTTTGCGTGGCAAGGTTTTGGTAGTGGGGGGGCTACAGGGGTGGCTTCTGTGAGAAGCTGCTAGAAGCTTCCCCTGTGCCTGATAGAGCCAATGCCAGCCAGCTCTAACACGGACCTGCCACTGGCCAAGGTCAAGCCCATCAGCAACAGTG